CTCAACAGATGAGTTTGATGATGAAATTCCTTCCGATTGTGCCCCTCAAGATTTCTTCAAGGTGTTTGGACCTGCTTTTTTGAGGAACGGAAGGTGGTCTGTTGTGCAGCCGATCCCTTTCTTGGGAGACGAAAATACCCCTCTTAAAGACGTTGATTTGTTCTATGATTTTTGGTATGGATTCAAAAGCTGGAGGGAATTCCCACATGCGGATGAACACGATCTTGATCAAGCGGAATCACGTGATGAGAAAAGATGGATGGAAAGGCAGAATGCAAAGCTTTCAGAAAAGGCTAGAAAAGAAGAATACGTGAGAATACGCGCTCTTGTTGACAACGCGTACAAACGAGACCCAAGAGTTTTAAAAAGAAAAGAATTGATGAAAGCCGAAAAACAAAAGAAAAAAGAAGCCAAGTTTATGGCAAAGAAGCTACAAGAAGAGGAAGTGATTAGAATCGCAGAAGAAGAGAAACGTAAGAAAGAAGAAGCCGAAAAGGAAGCTGCTGAAGCCGCATCACAGCAAAAGAAAATCAAAGAAAAAGAAAAGAAATTGTTGCGTAAAGAAAGAACTCGTCTTCGAACTCTTTCCAACAATGTGGTGAGTCAGCGTTTGCTTAATATTACCAATGATGACGTGGAAAATCTCTGCATGTCACTTGATATTTTGAAATTAAAAGATTTATGCGACAATCTGGAGACAAAAGAAGGGAGTTCACAAGCTGAACTTTTACAAGAGGCGATTAGTAACACTGATGTTTCTGATAAAGATTATATCCCAAAGAATGTTCCGAATGGGTCTGTGAAGGTGAATGGAAATGCTCCCAAAAATAATAGTCCTAAACCTTGGGGGAAGGAAGAGATTGAGCTATTGAGGAAAGGGATTGCAAAGTACCCGAAAGGAACTTCTAGAAGGTGGGAGGTGATATCTGAATACATCGGGACTAATCGAAGTGTAGATGAGATTCTGAAAGCAACTAAAACAGTTCTTCTTCAAAAACCCGATGCCACAAAAGCGTTTGATTCGTTTCTTGAAAAGAGGAAACCGGGACCTGTGATTTCTTCTCCTTTGTCAACTAAGGAGGAAAGTGAGGGGGTGTCTTTGACAAATGGTAGTGAAAAGGCGGATGAAGTTGTTGAAAATGGTGTGGCTAATGGGGAGGAAGATGTGTGGTCAAGTGTTCAAGTAACAGCATTGATTCAAGCTGTGAAGACATTCCCGAAAGAAGGAAGTCAAAGGTGGGAGCGGATTGCGGCTGCTGTTCCGGGAAAGACGGTTAATGATTGCAAAAAGCAGTTTACTTTGCTTAAGGAGAAATTCAGGAACAAGAAAAAGTAGTAATGTTTTTCATGGTCTTCTATCGATTTTGACAGGTATGGGAAAACATATTTATTAGCCAGAGGTATAATTAATGATTTTTTTTACTACTATCAGTTGGTCTTCATGTGGCTCCTATGTGTATGCTAGGTGAAGCAGAAGAATTTGTATTTTCTTTTCTTTTTTATCATATTTTTATTGCAAGGTTGGACCGATATATTTCAAGTATGTGACCATTTTTGTTGCTAATGTCGAATGCATCAGTAGAAATTGTTTTGGATTTACTGTCATGCTGTTTCTGCTTTTTATTCTTTCAAATGTATGTTTGTGTTTTGTTTGTTGGTTATTTAGGAATTGCGTTTTAAAAAACATGAGCTTATATGAAAAATGGCCTTTCGTATCTTGTTATTTAAATGTATTTGTTTTCAATTACTGGCTTGCATTTTCTCTGTATGCAAGAGGTCATTGATGAAAGCAATCTCCTGCTCCCAGCTATAAATTGCTTACATCCTACACAATCATCGGACTCCATTATTATGAATGATACTTGGGTATTGTTGTTTGCTTGTTTATTTTTATTGATAAAAGTTGTTATCTGTGATCGTGAGACTTATTTTACTTTCTAATAGAAATATCGCTATTATAAGTTTTAAAAAAGTTTTTCTTATAAACCCAATTTTTTTTTTTGAATTGGTTAAAAACTAGTTGTTTGACCTTAATGAGAGTTAAAATCACTTATTCAAAAGTCAAAACTAATAACATAAATCTAAACATTTCAACAATTATGTTATTTTTATTACTTAAGCAGCTTATTAGCTTACGAAGGGGTTGTTTGGCAGGATCTTAATTTTTAAGAGGTCTGAATTTCTAAGAGGATTTGAAACTTTAAGATTTGAATTTTTAACATGCTAATTGGTTGGAACATCTGAATTGCTGTGTTAAATTATAAAATGACCATTTTACCCTTCAGTGTTATGTTTTTTTTGTTGAATTCAATGTTTATGTTTATAAAATAACCAAACCCACTTCTTGAACATTTATAACAAAAGTATAAACACAATACAAAAATCCAAATTAAAAAAAATAAACCAAACATAAATATTTGACAAAAATCAAATCAAACAATGCTCTAATATAAAGAGGTAAAAGTATGATGCTATAATAAATAAATAAATAAACGTACATTACTATTTCTTGTATTTAACCCTTACAAAAACAATCTTACAATAACTATGAAAACAACCTGAACTTTATGCTTATATGGATCAAATTACATGTATACAACCCAATTCATTTACACATCTTGACAAGTACAATACCATTATCTAAGAGAACACAAAGAAAAACTTTGAATAAATCATAAAATTGAAACCATTCCATTCATTCTTTGTGTTCCAAATCAGTGATATGTGGTTAGCTACTGATGATTGTCCTGAACCTTTCTTGTCCAACAAAATCCCCCTGCATAAACACTATCCCACTGCATAAACATGGAACATTCAACATTAGTTTCATACAAATACAGTCTTATATATATTTTCAGAAGAGACAGAAAAGGAACATTCAACATTAGTTTCATCTAAAGTTCCAATTGCTCAAGGTCAAACATCAATGCCTAAAGTTCCAGTTGCTCAAATGAGAGATAGAAAGAGAACAAATTTTAGCAAAAAAAATCACAGCCTTCATCCACCATCATCTTTGACCATTAAAAATCACACAATGCTCTAAATCAATAACCAATTTGGAAACAATACATCAGTGTATGATAATAATAATCATTATTATACTAGAAAACTATAAATTAATAACTAATTATGAATGAAGCTATGTTTCACCACCGATTCAAAACATCACAGAAAACCTAAAATATGAACATTTAAAAACTCAATACATTAAATCGATTTTCGATTTCACATCATGAAAAAAATTCGATTTCTCGAATGTGAAGTGATTTTCGCAACTTTATACCTGACCAACGAAGGAGATCGGAGATCGCCTGTCGAGACCGACGTTGTCGAGGGCGGAACCTGGAGAGGGCGGCACTTTCGAGGGTGGAATCAGCGAAGCCAGAGCTTGGCGTCGGATGTCGTAGTTCGGCGATGGGAGTCGATTTCATGGAGGTGGGAGTGATATCAAAAGTTGTGTGAAACTTGTAGGTGTGCGAGGTTTACGATGGGGCGACAGTGTTGCGCGAGTCGACGACGGGAAGAGGTGGCCGACGATGGGATGAGGTGTTTGGTGATGGGAGGAGGTGGTTCGCGTTGGATTTGATCGGAGGTGGGAGGAGACATGAGAGGATCTAATGAAGGTGGGTTATGGAATTGGAAGCGTTCATATGAGGGCAATACAGGGAAGGAAGCGTATTTTTTTTATTCAGATATAAGTTTAGGTCTGAAAGTTTAAGAGGATTTTAAGAAATTAAGAGTCTATTATTCATAGGCTACCAAACGTTCTACATCTTAAATATTAAGAGGTTGCCTCTTAATTTCTCAATTAAAAGGCTACCAAACAGCCCCTAAGATTTGGTATCACCAATAAACACCTTTGAGGCTATAACTTCAATAAACATATTTGTTTATATTACATGTGTTCAAAACTTATATATTGAAACACATTTACCTTTTTTTTAATCATTGTTTTAATATCGATCATATTCTTTTTTGCATCCCACACATCAATTTACCATTTTGCCTGTCCGGGTCATTTTATATGGATAAACATAATTTGCCTAACATTTAAGGGGTGTTTAGTATTGTTTTTCAACACAATTTATTAACTTAGATGTCAATAAGTAAAAAAAATGTTTGACAAACTCAAAAACATTTTTCATAATAGTTTTTTCATTAGCTTCAAAAAATAGATTTTTAAAACATAAAACTTGGCTTTTTGAAACTGTTTTTGAGTTTGTAAGTTTTTAACCAAAGTAACTTTAAAAAAGAGATTTTAAGCCTTATTTGATTTCTTGACTTTTTCAATATAAAAGCTAATCCAAATATTTTTTAAAAACTTTTTTTTTACCATCATGTCAATAAACACTTAGCATTTTTAAAGTTCAAAAACAATATTAAAGACCCCCTTGAAAACAGCTTAAATCAGCTTTGCAGTTTGTTTCCGTACAGCATTATATGGTAAATCAAACACTTTCTTCTAAACTCTATTTATACAGAAAGGTACGTTTTAAATAGCAACTTATAACATATAAGGTAATAAGTATTTATAAACACTAAAAACATCTTATAAAACGTGTTATACATCTCCATTCACCTTTCTTTAATTATGTGTTATGTCAATGTGACGTTACATCCTCAAATTTTTATTAAAATTTTCAAACTATGTTATTCCAAGTTTCATCTCTCAAAAGAAAAATGCAAATGTCTAGTGATAATAAACTTATATACAAAAAGGCATAAATTGTTTTAAATAAGCATAGAGCATCTTTCTTGTTCTACAAAAATATCAAAAACAATCTTCATGTCATTTCGAATTTATTATTTTATCAATTTTCTTTTTACCAAAGTCATCTTTTGCAATAAACGAATGAAAGAAAAAGATATACAGAGTCAAGCTAAGCCGTTACGCCACTCTTGACTAGACAACTCATTTTGAATCATTCGTTAAAAAGATTTCCATTCTAGTCATTTTGATATGTTAAGTCAAATCCAAACCATCAAAAAAATGCCCACAAGCTCTTAGACTTAAGTAAAAACTTCAATTATCAATTAGGAAAGAAGATTCCAAGTTAGAGAAATGCAAAATAGCAAAAAAAACCCTCTCACTTTCCGAGCAAAAGGAATTACTCTGTACATACATGAAGGTTAGAAAGCCAAACCCAATAAAATTGATGGCTGTTTTTCAATGGCCCTTATTTTGCACCATATTCTCAAACAGATTACCAAAAGTCAAAGGTACAACCGATCAAAGCATAACGTACCACCTTCCAAAATCCATCCATCTTCAGCAACAACCAGCAATCGACTTATAGGACTCGCCAGAACCCGACAGGAGATGACAGCCGGAATCCTCGCCGGATTTATGCTCGTTCGGTTTCTGAACATAAAACACCAAGTAAATTTGCGATGATCGGACAATTTCGTCCTCGACTTCCGTGATCCATGCATCATCACACTTGTACCATTGCTCATTCAACCGAAGATAAGTCACATAATGACCCGATTCAAGCATACCCGAATGAGTAATCACAGCAAAAACTTCAAAATTTGTTGAAATGTCTGATTCGTCCCCCTCAAACGCAAAAATCCGGTTCCCAAATCTTTTCCTGACAATCGAAGACGACACATACGGCGTCATGTCTAAAGAAAACGGGAACTGTAAATGTCGGTCGATCTTTCGTGACGCTTTTCTTGCAAGAGAGTGTTCGAATCGTTTCACATGTAAACATAAGACTAACGGGAGTCTTCTGATTGACATTTGTTTAACAGATTCGTGTCTTTCTTGACAGTTTTGGCAGAATAGTTTTTGGTCGGAGCCCAATTTTTCCGGCCGGGTGAAAAGGTCCAGGCAACTAGTCAAAGTTGAAATTCCGGTGTCTGTTGACTTTTGTGCTTTGTTACTTGCGATATGAAGAGTATGATCGATATTTGTGTTTAAATCAAGAGATATGTCTACACATGGATCGTAGGTAGTGGAAGTGAAACCGCAGGTTGTGCAGGTGACGTCGGATCTCAGTAACCCAGAAAACGCTCTATGAACTACACAATGGCAATCTCCGGCGGGATTATCTGTAATAATTTGACAGAAAGTTGATCCTCCTTAAACCCAAAAATCGAGAGAGAAAGTAGTCATTTTTCTATGGTTTTTGCCATCATGAGAATCTTTACCCATATAATCAATCGAATCAAAATTACCTTTGCTTGTGTTTCTTGTTTTCCCTTCTTTCTCATGGATCCGATCGAGCACTGACATGAAGAATTCATGAGCATCTTGTTGCTCGTAACAAGCAAGATTTTCTGAAAGCCGCCACCAACTGCAAGAGCCAGAAGATCGATTGTATAAGTATCCAAAAATTGAAGAAAGGATATGTGATTAACATTTAAGAATATAGAAAATTTGAATAAAATGGGAAAGATCAAGACCTGTATAGGAATTGAGCAGGACTGTAGGGTGCCCGGTCACCGGAAAACACTGCGGAGAAGATGACCTCGATGTCACAGGATAAACAAAACCGGTCGTTAGAGGCTTTCCGGCAAGAATCCTTGTTATGTCTACCACTAAGGAAGTAATTTCTAAAAGGAGGAGCATGAAGCAATGCTTGCAACACAGAGTTCATGAAACACGTGTTGCCCAAATTGTTCAAGCCTCTCAACCCCACCGGAAAACAAGATTTCGATATCCTTCTATCGTGATCCCATTCACCGCCGCCGCTAACAGTAACCCTTTTCAGATTCTTGAAATCGGAATTCAATCCGACCTCAGAACTCAATCGTTTCCTCTTAATATTAGATCTAACACCTTCAAGATTCCCATTTCCTAATCCTACAATCTGCTCACACATAACGGCTCTATCGAAATCGGGATCGTATACCTGATCATCGCAAGCGATACAATAAAGCTCAGATCTTTGGATGTCGACAGCAATCTCATGCCCAATCTGATTTTGCGTATGCAAAAGGGCGTGATTTGATTCTGGGGACAAAGAACAAGACATTGATGAACAGATCAAACAGATATATAATCTACCTTCATACCCACAACAAAAACTACATCTGGGTATCTCTGATTTCGATTTTTCCATCAGGGTTTTTCTATAAGGGCTTGCTTTGACCCACTTTTGGATCATATTGAAACCTTTCAGGCCATACCTGAGCTTGTAATCTGAAAGATGCTTGCAGGGATTTAGGGTTGTCGACATATTTGATGGAAAAAGGAAAAAATAAAAAATAAAAGCTGATCAATCACAGATAAACAATTTCCAAGAAACTAAAATAAATTTGGATTTTGTTGAGAGTGTTAATGAATCAAGAAATTAAATTAAAGATATCGATGGTACGTTACTACTGGAGAAGAGGGGAAACGAAGGGAAGGGAAGGAGGCGAAAAGCAGGGAGTGGAGACGAAGAAGACCGACTGAATGCTGTTTGTTCTACTTTCTTCTCGTTAACTACGCGCATTAAGATGGGCCGTTAGATTTTGATCATATAGGTGGGCCTACTTTTGATGTGATCCTGACCGTCGATGTGAAATTATTTATGCGATTGGTTTATGTGGACCAGATCAAGAAGTTGCGTGGGTGTTTCATATTGGTAGTGATCCCACTCAATACTCACAATTTTTCGTTAAAGCAACCACTCGAATCAAAGATTTTAACTTAAGTCAATTTGATCGGGTCATGTTATGTTAGAACATAGTGTGATAATCAAAGAACTTGTATATCCATATATATGATCATGATATATGTTTGTGTATCACTAAATTTTTGTATGATAAGTGATTACCTATTTGAGAAATGAGTCGATTCGTTATATAACAGTTTGTCACAAAAAAAAGAAGAGAGAGTAAGAATAAGCTTCCATATGAAAATTGGCAACTTCATGTTTAGGTTGAATACGATAAATCTTTAGTAAATTGGATTACGATTCCAAACATTCAAAAGGTTTCTAAGAGAATCCAAAAGCATATATAAATTTAACATTTATACATATAAATTGTATCACTAGTGGCGTTTAAGAGGTAGTTTTAGACGGTTTTGATAGTTACTAGCATTAATTAGTGTAACACCTACAATATGAGCTTGGACTTTTTGACCATTTCTCGACTTAATACCTATTCTATATTTCTATTATTATTAATGACGTTAATATTGATAACATGGTATTAAATTTGTGAAGTGTATAATTAAGGATAATGGAGGTGAGATGTAGATAAATCTTAAATACGCTTCATATTATTTATATGTCGTTAATTTATAAAAGATTGTTGAAGCGTGATAACAATTATATTTTTGCTTCAAGGTCAATGACCGAAGAGTAAATATCTAGAAGATATTCAATTTATTTTTTAATTAGTAAATAGAAAATTATTGGAGACAATGCAAAAGGCCAAACAAATAAATATAAAATAAATAAATGACTTTTTTGTTGCTTTGATCGATCAAGAGTAATGCAAGAGGCCAAATTGCCAAATTGGTGATTTTTTGCAATCAAGAAATGTGACGTTGATGCTTGGTATTGCATCATAGCATCAGAGTGCTTTAGAGGTAAACAATCTTCTTCTTAGAACCCTTATAATAAAAATCCTACAATCTTAATCAATGATGTGGTTTGGATGTTATTTTGATGTCTGCATTGCTTTAGAGTTTAGATGTTGACATTTTGACATCGTTGGCAAACACTTTGGTCACGCTATTTAGTGCCTAAAATGACATAATAACCTAACAAATTTAATGAATTGCCAATTAGCATTTCATTTTTCATACAACTTCGTCATTTATTTTTTACGATCTATTGATTTCACATAGTTTAATGGAACATTTTTTAAAATATGTCAGAATTTTTATTAATCATTTTCCTATTTAATACTTCAACAAGTATTGAAATTCAAATCTATTATATGTCAGCTTGAAATTTCATTATGTTTGGGTTTAACCTATTATATATCAACTATGAATCCCATCTTATTCATCCATTCATTCATGCATTAGGATTAATCTTGAAACCCTTTCGATCCGCCACTTATTTTTTGTTAAATATTCTCCTCTTATATTCATAACACTACACTTTCCTACTAAATTGTGTTGATTAGTCTTGTTATATTAGTTTAGTTGCGAATATTGAAATATTTTTTTAAATTTTGGAAAATTGACGATGGATTTAGGTTGAACTCGGTGACTTCAACTGTTCAATGGAAATAAAACAACCTTCTTTATATGTTTCATTGAAGTTTGTAAATTCTAATGCGTTGTAAAATTAAATGATAAGTTTTTATGAAAATTAATAGGAACTAGGAAGATTTTGTATGCTTTCGAATGGAAGGTTAAAGTTGTTAGGTTTAATAAATGAATGAGGGATAAGGTTTTATCTCGTCTTTTCGAGATCCAAAAGCATCGCATGCTTTCGAAGCTTTCACATGCCACTGACTCCAACAATAGCTATGTCGGTAATGAGGAAGGACATTAAGGGAGAGTGAGAGTATGAGAGATCTATTTAAAATAGGATTGGGGAAGAGGTGGGACCCATTGATATTTCCATATTAATTTTATTTAATAAAAGAAAAAAAATAATAAAAAGAAAAGCTATAAAAATAATTGCATATAACATGGACTAAAATCACAATAGTATTATAGCACAACAGCCAAATGCAAAATAAAAATTAAAGACCAATGATAAAATTTTAAACAAACCACATGATTTACTCTAAATAAAATACAATAGATCTAATTTTTAAGTTTGCATCTAAATATGACTATTGAGATTTTTTTGAAGTATAAAGAAAACCTTCGAAAAACTGAAAAAAAAAATTGAAACAGTGTATGATTAGCGATTTCCTAACCTACTTTCGGTACAAAATTGGTTTAGGAACAGACTCGGGCCTAACCAAATCAGTTATAAAGTTTTAGCCCAATTCCTCATTTCACGCCATCTGTGCATATGCTCTATTATTGAAGCTTTTTTATGGGCCTCAGACCCGCTTGTTGCACCTATGACCTATCTCAAGGAATACCATAAGGCCATTGAAAAAAAAACAGTAAATTTTCTAAACTGTTGTTAATTTCACATTCCAATTTTTAAAAAGAGAGGACAAAATGTGATATGGTTGGACTAGAAATATGTGTTGTGTTCATCAGTAATACTGCCGAAGCCCACCTTCTTCTTTGTGTTGAATCTTGGTATTCATCATTTTGCTCCCCTACATTTTCTTTTCCATATTTTTATACTTTGACCACCAAAAATTTACATTTGATGTATCAACCATCAAATATAAGTCTTGTAAGAGGCCTTTTTCTGATTTAATAAATTTAATAGGCTGTATTAATATTAGACAACCATAAATAAATGCCAGTTTCTTTTTTTACTTTAATTTGAACATAATAATTTAATAATTTAATGTTCAAGAAAAAAAAATCCAAGCTTAATGAGTTAACCCACTATCCATTTACCTATTTGTTTTTCTTTCATCCTCACAACTTTATATATATATATATATATTATATATTATATATATATATATATATTATATATATATATATATATAAACTGGTCATACAATGTCATTTGACTCAAACTGTTTAGTCCGTTTAGAAGAAAAACAAACCTTATGAACTTAACAAAACTAAAGAAAAAGATGTAGGCCCTTAACAACAATGACTAGAAAGTTCAGACACTTCATTCTTTGCTAGTTTGATGTATCATCACATTTGATATTTTGTTTGATACAAACTCCCTTTTGGAACAACAAAATATAATCTAAATTGATCATTATTTCGATCAAACAATGTCAGAAAAGGGTTTAGAAAGAGGATTATAATAGAATGATAATTGAGGTAGACCACAACTTAATCAACCCACATGTTATTCCCCTGATTTACAAAGCTTGGATGTCTTAATTGCATACATTTTCCAAAAGTTGTATTGTGACATCCCCTAATTTCTCGGCCAGAAAAGACCGATTTCGTTTATGCTTTTTAAAATAAAATCAGAGTAATCCTTTTAAAAGGTGTTGCGGAATTTGTTCCCATAAAAACATGATAATTATATTATCAAATCATTTCTGAAGAAATGTATTTTATTCACTTAAACCATTGGGATGTCATCGTCAATATAGAAACATAAGCATAAACAGAACTTACATTCACTTACACTAGTGATCTACATCTCTTTTAATCTCTCCGTGTAAAGTAATTTTGTATCGATACCTGTGATACAAACAAACTGAGTGGGTCAGGCTTGGGAGCCTGGTGAGCATATAGGGTTTTCAACCCACAATAAATAATTTATTATGCTTAAACATCAAACAATCAACCCAATTACCCAATCCTCATTATCTTATTTATTTCTTAAGGATTTACCCTAAGTATCAAATCTCACTCATTCCTAAGGATTCATCCTAAGGAATAGGCCCAAGGTTCATACAACAGGCACTACGTCACATAGTCGCCGGGTTTATACAATAGGCACTACGTCTCATAGTCGCTAAGGTTTATACAATAGGCACTACGTCTCATAGTTGCCAGGGTTTATACAATAGGCACTACGTCTCATAGTCGCCAGGGTTTATACAATAGGCACGAAGTCACATCGTCACTAGGGTTTTATCTAATAGGCACGAAGTCACATCGTCGCCAAGATTTATACAACAGGCACTAAGTCCATAGCTGCCAACATACTAAATCCGTAGCTACCAACGTACATCTATACTGTACAAAATTCATAGCTACCAACGTACATCTATACTGTACTTCTATCCCTCATACTTTATCTACCCATGTTTTACCCAACATATTCGAAGATAAAATATATATACATTTTAAATCATTTTAAACATGTATAAAACATTCATTCAACACCCATCTCGAATAAACAAACAACATATATACACATATCACGTATTTTATATAAAATACTTCATATTTATGTGTAAGATGAAAGTAACTACACACTCACCTGATTTAATGAAAATCGGGCAGCAATTCGTTTTCTAAAACGATCGTTTCTAATAAAACCGGAAGTTTTATTGAGAAACCGGGCTCTACGAAAGGTCGGGCTTCAAAACCCGAAAAAAATAAATTTTTCGGGCTTCTCGGGCTCTTCGTGGCGTATTCCGGGGGTTATGATCGATACCGGGGCTTTGAGGGATGCTAAGATGAAGAAAATATGAAGAAAGGGGCTAAATATGGCAAAATTCCAAATCTAACCGGGAAGGCTCGCATACCCCTTCTATTTATAGGGGTCCGAAGTCGGTTCCGGTGGTGGGGTCCGCAGGCGAGGGTCCGCAGGTGGCTGCACGTGGGCTACGCATGCGAGGCCTCGGTGTCGCCTCCTGATTGGACCGCGGCCTAGGGTCCGAAGCAGCGAAGAGAAGACACGTGTTACCATCTGCGAGGTTCGGAGGCTAAGGCGGTGCGAGGCTCGGTCCAGCTGCGAGCTTCGGATTGGGCCTCCCTTCGGTCGAATCAGAATCCGACACGCAGCTACTGTTCATGCGAGGGAAGGCGACACGTGGCTTCGCATGACTCACCAATTTCGGACACGTGGCACTCTTTCAGCGAAGGTGACGTGGCCGAAGCCACCTATGCGAAATTTCTCGGTTTTCGCGCCAAAACTTTTAAAATCCATAACTTTCGCATACGAGCTCCGTTTTTTGACGTTCTTTATATGCACGCGTAGGTAAAATTACGCTCTACAACTTTCGTTTAGATTTCGTCGGCTAATTTTGACTTTAATTTTTATATTATTATTTTTAACAGACCGGGACAGAAAATCCGTTAAAAATTCATAACTTCTTCATCCGACGTCCGTTTTTGTCAGACTTTTTACCGTTGTGCTACTATTTATGAGACCTTCGATTCTCGTTTAGGTCGTGTCGGCTAAAAATCACTCGATCTAAAATTCGAGTTTTTAGCTGTCTACTGCTAAGCTGAAACTTCGAAAAATCATAACTTGCTCATACGAAGTCAGATTTGGGCGTTCTTTTTATATTTACTCTCGGTTTAACGAACACTACAAGTTTCGTTTAGATCACTAAGACCAAAAAGTAGTTTATCGAAAACCCACTTTTTACGACATTCGGCCCCGTGCCGGTTTGTCGCGAAACTTCGACATGTCATAACTTCTTCGTTATAACTCGAATTTCGGCATTCTTTATACATCCGTAATCCTTGTCACGCCCACTACAAGTTTCTTAATAGATATCGACTTTATCTAAAATTTAATTTTTGACGCTCATGTTTTATTCTTAATTAATTAAGCCCTAATAATTAAGCATAAAACACATAAAACACATAATATTCACATAATTCTTTTTCATTTCTCCAAAATGAGTCACAAATGTTAACCTAAACTATTTTGTTAATATTAATGCCTAGCCTAGAAACACGGACATTACATGTATTTCAACCTTAAGTCCAAGTTTCACAAAATCAACAATACCATAATCCAAAAGAGTACTAATAGTTTAGGCACAAAACTGAGAATAAATGCACTTGATTCGTGCATGTATTTTTGTTCTAGATTCTATGAGACCAAAAAAAAAAACTTATATACTGGTGTACACTCCAAAATAACGAAAGATCTCAAATTTCAGTTTCAAAAACTCAAATAGTTGAACTTACACAACAAAGAACACTGAGGGGGTGAATAGTGATGGATTACATCTAGGAAACCGTTTCAAGTTGGTCACAAAAACTAACAAACATTGATGAAAATAGAAAACACTGCTGCAACTTCAACAAGCCATTTAAGGTACATATCCCATATATGGGTGACTTGTTAGATCATTTGACCTGGTCAACGATATCCGATATCACAGCATCCATGTCCAATGCCTTCATAGGTCCAAATGGTCGCTTCATATCCTGAATATAACAAGGTATACAACAGAAATTTTCAGAAGAGAAGAACATTTGAAGGGCAAAAAAAGGACAATATTATTTTATAAAAATCACAACAGATTGAGAGTTTGTAAAGAGATTACCAGAAGACTGATGAACTGCTTGCCACCTTCTTCGCGTATTTCAAAGCATCCTCTTCTAGGCTGCAACAGACAGAATTTAAGTAATACAAAACAACGCTAGAAAGTAAACCATAAAGTAATAATCTAGTAGAAAATTAGCCTTTAATAGAATCAGTGTGTGTGTGGATAATCAGGTGTTAATAGAAATACCTTTTCTGGGTTGACGAGCACATTAATGCCAGATACAGCAGTCTCCAAACCAAGCTTCACCTTCGCAGCCCTTATTTTGAATTGAGTGCATTGTTTGCTGGTATACAAAAGAATATGTAAGAAAACCCAGTGTACAACTGTACACCTCCCAAACAAACAGGAAAAAAACCCTAATCTAGCAATTCCCATTTAACAAGTAGATTCATTTTCTTGTAATTTGAAATTTAAAGTCCTGATTTTCTCAGTCCTTTGAATTTAATGTTCTACTTGCCTTTTGCTTCATTTTTCTGACTATTGAGAAAAATTGCACTCTGTGTTATCAAATAGCGAAAATGGTTCCTACATTACTTCTTTTGTATCATCAACCCTGATTCTGGACAATAATAAGTAACTAAAAGGGGGAAATCGAAGAGAAGAAAGATAAACTTACCAGTGCTCAATCACGATCGTCTTTGAACCATTTACGCCGTTAGACGGTAGATCTGCTGCTGCTGCTTCTGTTGTTTTAGGTTTTGGTTGTGGCTTCTCTTTGGAACTGGGCTTAGACTTTGTATCAGGCTTCTCTTTGGAGCTGAGCTTAGCCTTCTTGGTCTTCGGCGCCGCCTCAATCACCACCTTCGCAACCCCTTGGCTCGCTTGGCGGGTCGAGCTTCGAGTCGCTCTTGTTGACTTGATATTCTCGGAAGCCGTGCCTTCTTTCCCGTCATTTTTACGCTTCGTCGGCGCCATTGATGATGACAGAGGGTTGAAGGGTGGAACCCTACCTTTGGTTTCGGCAATACGCTAGTGGGAACTCGGGAGCAGAGGTTCTACGGTGGTTACGGAGGAGTATGGTATAAGTAGCTCCTTTTCGATTTCCCGCGCACTCTTTGTTTGTTTTAATGGCATCTTGCCCCTCTTCTATCCCTTCAATCTCTATTTCTTGGGCCTTGGGATAGCTCTATTTTAGGGTTTCAACAATTTTCTTGTATTATCTTTTTTGTGCAACTGATTTACGGGTTGTTCCGTATGAAATAATAAAGTTCGGGTTCGGCAAAATTAACGGGTAGCGGTTAACGGGTGGCTGGTAGCGGGTAGCGGGTAACGTTTGATTTTTGAGCGTTTTATTGAAAGCTACTCCATGTAGCTTTTGATTTTGGAGTATTTTGTTTAGGTTAAAAGTTAAACGCTCCTGTCGTCGAACGAGATTTTTTCTTTTTTACTAGCGTTTTCTTAAAGCCTAGAAGTCAAAAGCTCCCAAACGTTACGTGCCGAACACGCCCAAAGAGTAACTTACACGAATGGTCCCTATAGTTTGGGGTAATTTGCGCGTTTGGTCACTAACTTATTTTTTTAACTCGGAAGGTCCTTACTATTTGTTTTTGTTACGCGTTTGATCATTGTCTTACCTAAAAAGACTATTATTTAAATAAAGAAAAATGGTGGGATATGTAAGGTAAGGTGAGGGGATAAGGTTGGGGGTGTGTTTATTTAAATAAATTAAAAAATCAATGGGAAAATAGTATTTTTAGGTAAGACATGGACCAAACGCGTAACAAAAACAAACAATAGGGATCTTCCGAGTTAAAAATATAAGTTAGGGACCAAACGTACAAATTACCTTAATCCATAGGGACCATTCGTGTAATTTACTCAATAATAAAATCATGTTCATTATACATTAACTTCACAGTTATTATTTTGAAACCGGACTTAGATTTCATCTCAAAACAATTTACTGATCAGTTGGCATTTTAAAAAGTTAGTAAATCATAAAAATATTTGGTAAAAAATGACTTTTAAAACAACTAAGAAGTTGGAATCTATACTTTTTCTAAACTCGTGATGATTTTTTGAGTTGTAAAAATCAATATTATCTTTAAATACCCTTAAACTAATACAAATATATATTAAAAAAAACAACTTATTGAGTTATTGATTTTTTTTCCACCACAAACTAATCCAAACATTTAAAAAAAATCATTTTCCTACCACCTATGTCAATAAGTCTTCATGTCTAAAAGTCATTTTGTAAATCAAAATGAAATCTCAAACACCCTCTTAATGTTTGTGATGAGAATTAAGGTACTAAAATGTTATTTCATTCCATTATATCAATCAACATTAACTTTATATACAACTTTATATACATGTGACAACCATGTACCATGTGACCTCTTATAGTCATCAAATCTTGGCAAAAACACAAAAAGATTACCATGATCAAACTTTTGAATCCGACATACTTAAGATTGAAGTCTATAAGATTCGAATGTGACCCGACTGATGATAGTGGAAACACGTCTGATCCTTCTTGCAGTCGCGAACGACATGTCATTTCTCTCCACACTTGTAGCATTTGAACTTGTGACAAGCAAACTCGTGAGTTCCACCACATTTCGCGCAAATATCAAAGTCCCCCTGACTACCAGTACCCAAGTTAGCAACCTAAAAACTCTTCGTCCATCATTAAATGAGCCATCTTTCTCTTTCCTAGTCGCGTGCCCACATCAAGATCTCCCCCCAGTAGTCGCCTCAGCAGTCCCTCTCATAGTCTGTAAGGTTGTAGTTCGCTCATCGAATTTGGCAATTAGCCTGTCAGTAATCTGACCCACAATACCATGCAACTCTTCCCGCAATATCTATGAAACCTCAGTGGCAATCCAACCATGCAACCTTAAGTCCACATTAATGAATAACGAGAGCTGAAACTATAAAAAATAAAAAATTTATTTTATCTTAAAATTATATCAACATGGATGTCTATTTGTAGATAATAAAAAATTATAATTTTGATATATTTAAAATAGTTTTTTTCGATAAAAATAGTTCCTTAAAAATTATATTTAAAAAAACTATGTTTTTGTACATATTAAAGTAAAGATTATCATAGTTTAAGGAAAACATGTTTAATTGGAAAACATATATGTACTTATTTCCCCTTTCCGCCGATACAATAGAGGGTTCTAAATAACGTAAGACGTGACTTGACGGCAATGTCAAACCTCAATCTTTTTTGAATCGTAACGAACCAAGTCGTTTGTAAATGTGACTTAAGGCGACAATTTTGTATATAATTAATAATTTTATATATATTTTCTACTATTTGTAACACCCATAAAATTCAAGTTAAATTTAAACTTTTCAAAAACATTTAAAACCAATAGTTATTACAAATTTGTTTCCAATATAGTTTATATCAGAGTTTTCCCAAAAATCCATAACAAAAGAGGAGTTGTACGATCACGCATTTGCCTTGCCGCGATCCCCCTGATGTACCTGAAACAATAAACTGAAACTGTAAGCCCAAAAGCTTAGTGAGTTTTCCCCAAAATACCCATACTCACAATAATACACATATAATCATAAACACAACATACTATGGGTCTAGTCAACCATCGGGTTGGAATACCCCAGGCCCTCAACCAACAGGTTGGAATGCCAACATACTATGGGTCCAATCATCATCGGGATGGAATACCCCAGGCCCTCAACCAACAGGTTGGGATGCCCCGGTCTATTGGCCTCCGCACGAAACAGATAAACCTCAACCGCCAAACAAACATGCGCACATATAACAGATAATTACATAACAGTCTATAGACAACACTGATCTAGCAGATCATACCACATAGCACAATACCATCCTATCTACCAGGATACCGATCTAACAGCTCATACCACATATCATATAATATTATCCTACCTTCTAGGATACCGATCTAACAGATCATACTAGCATAACATAACCATATAACAATCCAAATGGCCGACCTTGGTGCCTTAGACCCTTGACTATAGTGAGGATAACTCAGCTTGCAAATGTCGACTCGAAAGATAAGCTCACACTCTTGGATTACTGCCAAAAACTCCACCACCTATAATCGCCATACAACCATGTTCATAAGTTCCCAAAATGCCCCCAAAAGTCCAAAAGTCAACTCATGGTCAAAGTCAAAGTCAACTGCCAAGGTCAACAGTCCATGTTGACCTGAACTCGTCGAGTGCAACTAGACACTCGCTGAGTTCCTTGTATAACTAACCCTCTCGCTGAGTCACTCTACTGACTCGCCGAGTCTACGACAATCTTCAACGGACTCGCCGAGTTGTTCATCCAACCCATCGAGTTCATGACCATCTTCATATGACTCACCGAGTCTACCATGCGACTCGCCGAGTCCCTTCAATCCTTCATCCTTACAGGTGCTTTCTAAGCCATGCAAAGGCTCCATATTGCAGATCTAAGCTCCTAGGGCATGTTTATCATGTAAAGTTGCAAACTTTACGTGTATGCCAGATGATAATGCCCCAAAACAAGCTAAATGGGTGACTTAAGGTAATGGAAAGGTCATAGCTTGACAAAGACTGAAACTTTATGACAAAGAGGCTAAAGGAGTCCAGATCTGAGGTTGCAACCTCAAATCTTGACCCAAATCGAGAACCACCACAAACCCCAAAAGGCTCTAAACCCATAATAAGAGATCTAACCAAAGCAGAGTCAAGGTAACAAGTTGTTACCTTCAAAACGATGCCACGACAGAGAAGAATCCGGATCTACAACAACCCCTTGCTTCAAACTTCTTGAACTCCAAGCTCTTTACTCCAAGAATCTTCTTTCAAGATAAGAAGCACACAAAATAGAGGGAAATCACAAATTAGGGTTTCTGAATTCGAGGGAGGCAGTAAGAGAGGATAGGGGGATAAGTGATCCTTAAATAAGGTGCAAAACCCCGAAAATTAGGGTTTCATCCTCCAGCTCCTACCGTCGAGTCCCTTCTTGGACAGGCGAGTAAGGTCACTTAAACAACGGATCAAACCCGCGCTACTCGACGAGTAGGGCAACCCACTCCTCGAGTAGACCTTAAAATCAAGAATATTCTTATATAAATCAATACCTGAGAATCGGGGCGTTACAATTTTCCCCCACTTGAACTAGACTTCGTCCTCGAAGTTCGCTGAGGTAAACAACGCCGGGTAATGCTCCCGCATCTCAGCCTCTGGCTCCCACGTCCACTCGGATCCCCTCCGATGCTCCTGTTGGATTAATGTCTAAGTCCATAACTATATTTGGTATGTACTTGACCCGACCCAGCATGGTCCATTTGGGTTGCACTTCACCGGCACAATTTATATGGATAGTCTTTTGAGAATAGTATATTTATGATTTATATTAATATATTATAAGTTCTAATATATTAATATGGAATCATATTATTTAATTAGTATTGATCAAGAATTAATTTAGAATTAATTAAGTGATCAAAAAGAACTAATTAAATATGGACTCTTATATATATGGAATGGGCCAAGTTCATTTAGGTTGGGCTAAGCTTTCATGGATGGTCCATGGAGCTTTTAACCCATGGATCTTATGTAAATGAAAGGTCATGGGTATTAGGGTTTACATGGATGTAACCCTAATCCTCCATAATATATAAAGGGGTCCTTGGCTCACAAAATTTGGACAAGTGTGTGAAAATAAGAGTGGGCCGATTTTAGTGTGCATACATATTATCTCAAGTTCTTCCAAGGTGTTTTGGTGATTTGTGATTCCATTTGAGGCTTCCACACTATTGGGGCTAAGCTCTTAAAGCTTGAAGACATCAAGCTACATCAAAAGGTATGTCATCTAACTAGAACTTTGTAGTATAGGTGCTTCATAATATGCTAGTTAGGATGAAACCTTGGAATAGTTAATATTTGCATGTATAATAGAGAAAACATAGATCCAAGGTTTATAGGGTTGCATGTACACCATAGGAGTGTTAGAATGCTCAAAACCCAACAGTGGTATCAGAGCCATGGGTTGTTTTTTATTATATTCATGCAAATGTTTGATTTTCAAAGTTGAAAAAAAAGGAAAAAAAAATGACGTTTGTCAAATTTTAAGATAATTACTTGTTTTTGTGAAAAACTAATTTTTTGTAAAATTTGAATCA